TAAATCAACATAGCAGGAGCAAACTGAGGTAAATCAACACAGCAGGAACATCCTGAGGTAAATTAACACAGCAGGAGCATCCTGAGGTAAATCAACACATCAGGAGCATCCTGAGGTAAATCAACATAGCAGGAGCATCCTGAGGTAAATCAATATAGCAGGAGCATCCTGAGGTAAATCAACACAGCAGGAGCATCCTGAGGTAAATCACAGAGCAAACAGGTGGCACACAGAAGAAAAAGGCAGGAAAAAGGAAATGCTCACTCCACACCCACAGCAACCAATCACAGCACAGATTGCCTCACGCAGGAGCCAGCACTCTTCAACCAGTCAGCTTTGTTTTGGCTCATTGTACAACCCCACTGCTCCAGGTAGCCCTTGACTTACAATTTGTTTAGTGACTGTTCAAAGTTACAGCAGCACAGAAAAAGGTGACTTACAACCATTTTTCACATGACGGTTGCAATATTCCCATGGTCACACAATCAAAATTTGGATGCTTGGCAATAGGTTCATATTTATGACGGTTGCCATGTCCCGGGGTCATGTGATCAGCTTTTGCAAATTTCTGACGAGCAAAGTCAATGGGGAAGCCAGATTCATTTAACAACTATATTACTAACTTAATGACTGCAATGATTCACTTAATAACCCTGGCAAGAAAGGTCGTAAAATGGGGCAAAATTAACTTAACAAACATCTCACTTAAGAACATAACTTTGGGGCCCAGTTGTGGTCGTAAGTCGAGTACTACCTGTACTAAATTTAAATGACAGATTAGAAGACTTCCAAGGTCTCTTTCAGCCCTATGATTCTATAATTCTAAGTAATTTTGAATGTAATGTAAAATGGAGCACAAATGGGACTACAGGTAATCTTTGACTTTCAACCATTCATTTAGTGACTGACTGTTCAAAGTTAGAATGTGGAGTGGAATGGAATGGAATAGAATAGAATAGTTGGAAGAGACCTTAGAGGTCTTCTAGTCTAACCCCCTGCTCAGGCAGGAGGAAACCCTATACTATTTCAGTTAAATGTGTATCCAATCTCTTCTTAAAAACCTCCAATGTTGGAGCGTTTACATGTCATTGAAAAAAAGTGATCTACGACCATTTTTCACACTCCCAACCACTGCAGCGTCCCCAAAGTCACCTGATCAAAATTCGGATGCCTCACAAGTGTCTCGTATTTATGATGGTTGCAATCGTAAAACGGGACAAAACATATTTAATAGCTGTCTCTCTTAGCATCGGAAATTTTGGACTCCATTGTGGTCGTAAGTCCACAACTTCAACTACATGTATCGCCTGTTTGCAAACAGGGCTCTGGTATTCTTTCAGCTTTCAATTATCGCTCTGGATGAAAGGACACCAGATCCGCCCCATGATCCCTGGCTTGTCAAGCACCCTCTTTTTGGCTGAGGGCCAGCCCCATGTTTTCTTCTGCAGCCCTGCAGCCAAAGAATGACAGGAGTTTCCATATTTTCTCCTTGACAGGGTGAAGGCAGCCCAGAACGAGCTGGGACAACAGATCCTGGCTGATTTTGAAGAGGCTTTTCCTTCCCAAGGCACAAAGGTGTTTAATTATTATTATTTTTTTAAATACCCTTGATCTTTTCTGTTTGCAAAATTACTGCTAATGGCAAGAAGCCACTAGCAAGGAAAACTGAGGCGCCGCCGGCTTTTAATGAGCAAGGCGCCTCCAAACTTGGCAACTTTAAGACTGGTGGACTTCCAACTCCCAGAATTCCCCCACCTGCATGGCAGCCTAGGGAATTCTGGGAGTTGAAGCCCGTTCATTTTAACGTTAGCGAGGATAAGAAACACTGCAGTAGACACTCCAATGGAAAAGGGGCCTGCAGTTTTTGAGCGCTGTGATCGGCAAGCAGAGCAGATTTTATTTATCGGAATTTTATCCCACCCATTCATATTGTAAATAACTCAAGGCATACTTAATACTCCTTTCTGTAAGGTGGGGATTACTGAGAGAGAGTGACTGGCACAAAGTCACTCTCAGCTAGCTTTTGTGACTAAGGGGTGTGTGTGTCTAGAACTCCCCATCTCCTGATGATTGGCTCAAAATCACCCAGCCAGTTTTCATGGCTAAGGCGGAACTAGAACTCCCAGTGTCCTGGTGATTGGCTCAAAGTCACCCAGCCGGTTTTCATGGCTAAGGCGGAACTAGAACTCCCAGTCTCCTGGTGATTGGCTCAAAGTCACCCAGCCAGTTTTCATGGCTAA